AGAGCTCATGTGACATCCCTCTTGCTGAACAATTTCAACAAGCTACAGAATATGAAAACACCATCTTCCTGAAAACATCACCTTTCTGATAATAGAGAAAGCAAGATGACAGCCACCACTCAGTTTGTGGCTGGAGACTCGCAAGTGCTAAAGGCTCTCAGTCACTGCCAAGCTCAAGGGCAAGCAGAAAGCAGACAGCATGGGCTCTTGGCCCCAGACCAGCCCTGCTCCCCAGAACTCTTGCTGTGCCCTCAGGTCCTGAAGATCATCATCTCTTGTCCAGAGCTGATACTTGCTACTGGTTGAGATAACATCATACAAGGAAATTTCGGAAAAACTTTTGATCTTGGATCACCGATTCTTTTAACTGTACTTCTGGTTTTCAGCAGATGTAGAGAAACTAGGTAATGGCAGCCCAAGTAGAACCACCAGATAATTGCTATTAATACTGACAGCAGTGTGACTCTGCCAGTGGAAGTATTCCACTGTAAAAATCATGTTTTGGTCTACTTCAGGCAAGAATTTCACCCTTGACAGACAGTCCTGTACTTTCAGAAAATTGCTAAATTGCTTCTTGTTCCAGACCAATCACACACATTTAGAGGACTAGTCGCTTCAGAGAGTGAAATACCCTTGACAAGGTATTATTGAAAACAATACCGTATTTTACATGTACATGCATCCATAAGTCTCTTTGTACAGATTTTATATAAACAGATACCGCAGACACATACTTTTTCAGGGTTAGCGAATTACCCGCTTCAGCGCAGACATACAGAAATTCCTTCCCACATGAATAAAACACGGTCTTCACCAGATACAGCCCGGCAACCCTTCAGCCATCAGCAGGATTACTCTACAACTTTGTAAAACAGGAAAGCTAGTCTCCCACTGAGAACTACAGAAAGAATTTAGGTAGACGAAATACAGTTGCCCATAGCGGAATTTAGCTGTGGAATTAAAACTAAAAGTCACCACTAGGCCAAAAATTCAACAAGTTTTTGTTCGATTCTTTCTTTTTTGCTTTTAAACAGTCACAAGCATTAAGGCCACCCAAATTTTACAGAATTAGGCACAACTGTCTAATCCCATTACATGTAGCGGCTTCCCCTGACTTCAGTGTCATGCTATCAGGCTGCAATGACTGAAGATTTGAAGTTATTCCATTAACTCTAATACCCTTAGTTTGCCCTGGAAAGCTTTAAAGATGTTACTCATCCAATGACACTATTAAATAGCTTTTTTTTTAAAAAAAAAAAAATACCCCTTGCAATCACTTACATTTGCTACTTAGTACTTTTACTATTTTAAGCCTTTTCTCCTCCTTTTACAATGAGGACTGTATCTCTTGGTGCCTGTCCTCCCTCTTGTTACAGTCCTACCTTTTCACGAAGGAAAGGGATGTCTTTTGTGTGTTCTCTTTCATGAGGGATTTGCAACCACTTTCTGATCCTTTGTCACAGATAATTTTATTGAGTTGGGGAAACACAGTGGGGAAATTCACGTTCTCCACTGGACATAGCATGTGGAGTGTGCTCCTCAAACCGTTGTGAAACATGTAAAAATCAAAAGCAATGGATGCAAAGAACATAGTCCTTAAGTTATTTAAAATAAAAAAAAACAAAACCCACAAACAAAAACTAACAAAGAAACAAAAATACACCACAGCATGAGGAAAACCAGGACCAAAGTTAGGCATTTTCTTCTTCCCAACTTGTTCTTGCCCAGAGTGTTGCTACTGACCCACAAAACACATTTCTACACCATGAATGCTGCAGAAAACATCACTTGCAAAAATGCTTTAGTAAGCTGCTTAGAGAATGTATGGAAATAGTATCTCTATTTCAAGCATGCAGTAGAATATGCTTCCTGCAAGACTCTGCTTGCATACACGTTCATTTGGAAAGAATCTGCATTATCAAATCACATAAGCCATTTTTCATGCACATTGTTTTCAAAGTGTTTTTCTGTTCAAAGACCCTAGATGCAAGGCTGTAGTTTTCAAAATACAAAAACCCTCTGCATATGTGGAATTCTGTTCATCTGAAGATATCCACTGATGTCAGGCAGATGCAACAATCGTATGCTCCATTGGTAAACTGCAAATTGATGGCAGCAAGGATGGCTGCATTCTGCTTCTAACCAGTATATATGGATACTGCACCTAGCCTGAGGAAAAGAGAGCATTCAACCGGAAGATCTGAGATCATTGTATATGCTCAACAAACACACAAACAAAAAACAAATCAAAAAAACCCCAACAATACCAGACACACGCACACACCTACCCCAAACTTCAACAAGGAATTTGCTTTAGGTCTCTGTCCACCCTGGCCAGTTTATTTGCCATTCAGGCATGTCTCAAAACCTATTTCCCACAACTGGTAAATTAGAAAAAGCAGGGTTATTTTGTGGTCTGTAAAAGTAATTTATAAGCGTTTTTTGAGATCTCCATTTTCATTTCCAAGTACTATTCCAGCGTTCGCAGGGAGAAGGTAATGAGGACAACCTACAACAGCGAAGGACAGTTACTCCTTTTGTCCATTTGTCAGTGTTCCAGGTTATGAGCTAGGATGTGCCTAAGCCCTTATCCCAGAACACGGTCTCCTGCTCTTACTCGACAAGAATTACCTGTAACCCTTATACATATTTCAAAATGAAAATCCCTTGAATATAGATATCTAGAAGGATACAAGTGTACAAGCAATGCAAGATCTGATACAACTCCAGAGATAGGCTTTCCAAGAGAGTACTGTTAAGGGGCGGGAGGAGGAACCAGGACTTATTTTTCAACCTTCCTCCCATTAATCATGTCACAACTTCTACACAATTTTCCACATGGCAGGGACTAGCTAGTTAATCCTTTTTACAGTTCCTATCCCTTTCATGAAACTGTTGTTTTTCTATATAGGGAGAAACACAAGCCAAAGAAATGCTGCTTGGTCAGTAAAAGTCAAAAACCCAGTGTTAGGGATCCTGCCTAGCAAATTCCTGGTTAAACATAACCTATCTAGAATAACAAAAGAAAATAAAGCCAGCTCAGTTTTCCAGAAGGTAACAAAAGACAGATACTGCACATATTTCATTAAGGAGGATGTTTATTTTTCCAAATATTGTATTAAGATAGTGTCCTGTTTGCCTATTTCTATCGACATCTGCTCTGTAATAAATAATGATTGAAGATCAAAGATTTAATTGTGCAAGTAACAGAAAGTATTAGTAACATTCTTTCTGTCCTACAGCAACTGAGATAAACTTAAAAAAACCTTCAACAGCTAGGAGAACAGGATATTTATATAAAGATGTCCTAACAAAAGAAAAGCATGCAAAACTACCTCTAGTGGATAAACAAACTAGGCTCCCTGTTTGCAGACTGTTCCCTATCAAGCTCAGCCCTCAGAGATCCCCTCCCTCAGTCAACAAGGTCAACGCATCTCAGGTGGGTTTCACATCTTTATACAAGCCCTTCTCAGCATCCTTTGTTCACTGACCCTTCAAATTTAGGAAAATGCAGCAGGTGTGCCTTTAAGGCCCATTTTGCTGCTAGCTGCTTTAGATTCCCTCTTCCAGATAGTAAGTCATTTAAGAAGGGGTGGGGGGTGTGTGTTGTAACTCCTTCTTCATCGGCATAGGCTGCACTGCGTATCCTCCATATCCCTTTTGATATACACATTGTAACAGGACACGAGTTCTGCAGCATACATACAAAATTACCTCCTCCTCAAGGAGACTTTATTACTTCTTGGCTTTCTGAGATTGGGAAGAGCCTGAATTTGTTGCCTGTTTGTCACACTGCTGCCATTCATTAATGCAACAGCATACTTTGAACTAGCTGTCCTTCTCCTCCCCAAAATTAATGTAGCATGGAGTGCTCTCTCCCTCCCAAGACAGCAGTAGCTGCCTTTATTCACTTAGGGCTCTGACTTGCATACACTGAAAGGGGAAAATAAAAAAGAAACACCACCAAAAACCAACCAAAAAACCCAAACCAACCCACAACTGTACTAACTTACAAAACTAGGACTCCCAAAAGTGATGATTAGGCCAACTCACTGAAAGTAAGATCAAGAGTGGGTTCAGATTTATCAGTAGCTTGCTTTCAAATTCAGAGCTCTGAGAGGAGTTCTGAAACAACATTGTCAAGTAAAGGATAGTTACCACCTCTACCTAAATGGACGCCGCCACAAGCAGAGAGCCTGAACGGTCTCAGAAAAGTCTGAGAGGCAACACAGAGGACAAGCTTACTCAGGGCTACCTGCACAGCAGAGACTGACATTTGAGAGCGATTCTCAGCCTCCTTGTGAGACATGTGTGAATTATAAAAATCCAGCCATCCTCTGTCCCCTTTGTCTTTAAGGAAGAGTTTAATATTAATTCTAGCTCTTTTGAATCTACTTCTGGGCTAGGGCCCAGTCCATCTGCAATATTTTAAAAAGTGACAGATTAAAAACACACAGAACACCCACTCGGGAGTCACTCAGTTCTTCTAAACTACGGTAACTCACAACGGAAGAGACACGTTAACCGTGGCACTGCTTGTGCGAAGCTGCAACCTGCACACAGATGCACAGAGGGTGAAGTAACTCACTGCACAATGAGCTATTGTACTCAGGGACACCGGTCAAGGCACCTCCTTTTCTTTTGTGTTGTCCTCTCATTCGTAACAATGTCCTTTAAGACATCTGCTAGAGTCCTGTAATGTTAATGGAAATGGAAAAGCTCCAACGGGAACTCGGGGGTTTCTCTCTTTTTCCCATGAACTGAACATTATGGAATTTTAACAGATGTTCTACTTGGTCATAGTTAATAAAGTGAATTATGCAGGAATTAAAAATCTGGCTCCATTTGCTTATATAAGATCTCAGCAGCAAGCTACATTCCCATTAAGAAATTCTAGAGGATTTACAGTGGATTTATAGTCTGCTCCTGCCTTGTTATAAGATGGCTGGAGATTTTACAAATGAACTTGTCTCTGTTGCGGAAAACATGAATAAATTTACCTGTTCATTGACTGTTCTTAGTAGCATGATCCAATTTCCACACCAATACACGCTGGTACACTACAACCATAGGAAAGGACAATTCTCACTTGGATTTGCTTTGGAAATGACATCATGGGAATTCCACATCATTTCACAGCCTCCAATTTCTGTCATTTATTCAAAGTCTCATTCAGCAACCTAATAGCCATGCTCCCACTTTGTGCATTATCACAAAAGGTTTCCTCTTGGAGCACGGATGTCTCTTTCAGGCTTCTAGGGCCAACAGAATGATGCACTGTACCTCACTTCCCCTTTGATTTTAGTATTAGTTCACTGTAACTACATCAAAGGAAGATGTAAAGACCAAAATACAATGAAGATGTGAAAGAAGAGGCACCAAAAAGGTGGTAGGTTAAAGCGTCACAGTCAAAACTTCCAAACATTGAGGTTTGCTCAAAGTTATTTCCAAAACATTAGATATTTAACCTTCTTCTTTCTCTTCTTATATTAATCTGTACAGAAAGTATTCTGATGCGAAGATAAAGGGGATAAATGAAAGAGCATGAATCAAAAATGAAGGATAAAACAACTACCTTGCACCAGAACAGAAGCAGCACAGCAGCTAATGCAAATTACATGGAGTGGAATACAGCTGTCTTGAAAAGATCTGCTATGCTATAGCAAAAAGATGAGGTTTTAACATTGCACTCCCTTTGTAAACAATTGAGCTCATTTTCACTTAAGTCCAAGCAATTGGCAAGCAGATCTCTGTCCAGACATTGAAATCTGCTTTAAGTAACACGCAAAATTTTATCCTGATGCAACAACTAAAATTAACCTTTCTTAAATTCTGGCTCAAACTTTTTGCCACTGCAGGAATATCATCATCTGAAAGCATCAATATTCCTAGCCTCCTCCCATTTTTATTTTTTTTTAAATGAAAAATCATGCATTGAAGCCCCTCTATCCAAAAATCCCACTCTAACTAAACAAAGGGGTTTGTATAAGTAAAGAACCAAAGCATGTAAACAAACTCTGGAAATATAAAAGTCACTGGAATTAAGTATCAGACTATATATGCTATGCAGCTCCCTGGTTGTGTCCAATAATGAATTAATATAGATTTATATTTATCCAAAAATAAAGACTTTCCCTAAAGGAAGAAGTATATGTAAATAGAAGGGAAAATATCCAGGCTTACAGCAGTTCCAGCTGAAGCTTCAGTACGCTGCTCTTACTCGAATGGACATTGCTTTACAATATTTAGCGTCAGAAAATGCAATGGTCTAAACAGGGTGTTAAATTTAAAGATTTTTTGATTTTTTTTTTAAACATCACTTATGATTTGTTTCATTCTGAAGAGAAAGCACATTTCATTTTGTAATAATTTATTTCTCATTCTATTGGACAGATTCTCCCGAAAAGCAATACTTCAACTGAAATCAGTTCTGAAGGATCTTTTATGAATATACATAATGGAGAGGACCCCCATTAAATTTCCAACAAAGTGCTGCCATTTTGAGTAAACAAAGTTATCTCAGCAGGGTCACACACTATGCCATGAATATGGTCTGCAAATTAATTACCACCCTGACATATGTCAAAACAAATTTTAAGGAGAATAACACACAGTACTAACCATGTGTTTTATCTGTTAGTATGCGAAATCTGTATTCAATGGGATCTAAATTTATTCATTTATTCAGAATCCCTCAGAGAAATCAAAATGATTCGTTGGCCTTTTTTGCCCGTCTCCAAATGAAATCTGAGTGAATAACATGTGTTTAGTGAGCCAGAAAATAAGTACAGGACGAAGCTATGGTGGGGGTTACATTTCAGAAAAGCAGGTGTCATCTCTGCACAAATAACTAATTTTTTTAAACACTCAAAACTGCTAAAATAGACTGCAGTGCATTGTCATTTGTCAGCACTTCAAGGAACACTAAATTTGGTATTTCTTATTTTAGGTAATATCCATCTTTATTCCATATTGTAACAAGAGCTGGCTAACATTACTGTCCTAAAAACAGTTTTCAGCATGAAGAAAGGCTTTTAAAAGCAGAGCTATTGAATGAAGGCTTAAAAAGCCTCTGCAACTGGCTTTATTATCAATGACAACACAGCCAACAGATCTGATCCTGTGTTTAAAAAACAAAAGCAGCACAGATCCAAACCTAGTTTACTCAGATGAGTTATATAAGGAGAAGACAAACCCACACATATCACATTGAACACAGTAAGTAAAGAACCCTTCCCAGACAACAGCAGTTTTGTTTTCGTAGGAATCAAACCTCCTCTCTTTAATTTGAGGTACTCATGGTACAACTTCTGCTTTGTTAAAAGATGACCTCCTGGGACCCGATTCTGAAACAGTTTTAAACTAGGTGTTCATCAGTACGTTTTTCTACTGCTTTCATAATCTGCCTTCAGTTCACACAGCATATCAAACACTTCCATGACACTAATCCTGTAATTCACAGTACGTTTATGAAGAGATTTTAGTTTAGGAACTATTTTCCACCAAGCAGGCCAAAATATTTTTAGCTCCTTTTTTTTTTTCCAACAGTTAAGTACTTCTGATTTAGAGTTAAGTAATGCCATCTCACATCTACAGACTGGATGACTAAATGCATTTCTTTCACACGTTAAAAAAAAAAAAAGAGCACAATCCTCCCTATATACAGATGACAGATAATCTCTTGGCATCTGCTGACAAACATATTTAAAGAAAGCCTAAATTTGTCTGTGCCAAACTTGGCCTGATGCCACCAGTTCACCATTGTTGGCATACATACTTCACATGACGCAATCGCAAGCCTTGAGGAAGATTTCAGTACTTTATTTTATGGTTTTCATCATGTTAACATATACATTTCCATCCTTCTACAATCTAGCAGCAACAGGTCGGAGACACAGGATGGTAGATGACTTTTTGCATGTATCATAGATTTTCTTAGTGCACATTATCAGTATTCTATTTAAATCAGAGACTAGTAACTCAGCTAGAATGAAATACGCTAGGATTTAGAGCTTATGGTTAGAGCAATTGATCTCAATTGTACTACTACTTCTTGTTAGAAAACAAAGTGAGGCAAAGGAATTAATTTTTTAAAAAAGGAAGAAAGAGAAAGACAAATGTTTTACCTCTCTTAATACTGTGCTTTTATAACCCCGATAAAGTCCTTGAATACCCTGTAAACAACAAAAGAAAGCATCAGCTATAGAGAATTAGTTTGCCAAAGGCCACAATTTATCGGTGATTACAAGGCAAGCATTACAGCCCTACTGAGTGTCGGACCTTAACTTCTTGCAAATTGATTATATAGATTATAACATTGTATACTGTATTCCATGATTTACATTGCTGGAGGGTTTTATGTTCATTTCAAAGATCATTTAACCACTGTTCAGAATAATCAGTTATAGAGAAGAAAATATACCTTAGAGTTAAAATTAAAAGGGTGATAAGACACAGAAACACATTACCGCAAACTCTACTTGCCCAATATTTTGGTCTAGAAGTATCCACTCTCCTGTAAATATTTTGAAACTACTCCTCTTCTGTTTACATAGCCCATGCAAAACAAACCCATAGGATGACAGCTTCCTATGTCCACCTTCTTAGCCTTGATCCAGAGCATTTATCAAGACAAATATTTTGTATTTTTAACCAGCTGACAACATTCAAAACAATTAAAATTTTCTTTTATAAGTGCATATCAAAATTATGTCTAATATCTTATAGGACAGTTTATTCCATTGTTTAGCAAGTCTTATGGTTCTCTGGCCAGCTACAAAAAGGTAAAAAACAGTTTCGAGAGCACCAGCTTTTAGAGCAGATGACCAAATCACAGAACGAAGTTCCAGGGACCCTCTTGTACAGGGTTATCACAATAGTTTTCCTTTACAAGGAAATAAAAATCAAGTGGATCATTTAAAGGTCATATTTATGTCTTCCTTTTCCTGGCTTTTATACATGGAAACGTGTATAATATTTTTTCCCCCCACAGTGTTTTCAGAAGCCACTTTCTCTTATGAAATACAACTTGAAAAACACCCCTTGTGAGACTCAATGAAAACAGTGGTGAACAGGTTTTTACAGGAAGGAACAGTATTACTACTGAAAAGAATGACAAAAGCCCTAAGTTTTCAAAAGTTACCAGTACTGGATGAGCACTCATTTCCAGAGCTCCTACAGAGCCTCTCTGAAATGGCGCCTTTAGGACAATCCCCTCCAAAGCCCGCTTCAAAAACTGGAAGCCATTCAGCAAACTCTAGATACAGAGACTCTATGCCCTGTTGTCCCAGACAAGGACTGTTTGCATAAATACAAGCAGAGCTTTGGAGACTGGAAAGCTGAATCTCTTTCCTTTTTTTTTTTTTTTTTTTTTAAATGTAGGTACCCTACGTAAAAAGAGGAGGAAAGAGTTGTTTAGAGCATGCATGTAAGTGCATGCACATGGGGGACGTGGGGGTTTGGTTTCCTTAAACGTAACATGTCAATCACTTCTAGCAACAAAAAAATAGATGGGAAAGTGCTGGGAGAGCACAGAACTGGAATCAAGCTGTACGAATGCTTCTGGACATGTATGGCACTGAGTGGGAAGAACGATGCAACTTCTTTGACATTTTGCTCTGAACTCACCTCATGATACAAAGTGCGGGAGAGAATCCGGAGGGTACTTGAGGAAGGAGAAACCTGGGCCCTTTGCTTGACAACCTCAGATGGAACCCGTATGAGGCAAGCAACCTGCAAAAGAACCATACATTCAGAGAGCAATTCCTTTTGCTGCCTTACTCTTCCTATAGCTGACACATTTAAAGATTATTCCAAGTACAGAAACCTGAGAAACAAGGAAATATTTTTTGTAATTGAACTTAGAAGCTGTTTATGAGCAGTTTATGTATTTGCTCTGAGCTCTGTACTTTCTGAACACAAAGCTGTACTCACAGAAAAATGGAAGTACTCTTGAAATTTTTAACTTCCAAACCAGAAGTAGATTTGGGTAGGTAAAATCACCAATGAAACCAAAATTTTGAAGCCATCTTGTCTTTTGGCAGCCACAGGAATTTTTCCCCCCACCTTCACAGATCTAAACTGGAGAGTCAGGACTTGAAGAACAACAAACTTCTTTCCAAGGTAGTTCCTTTGTGCCCTCTAGTGACTGACAGCAAGAGACACTCCAGTTAGGTTTAGATGCACACAATATATTCAAGGTTTGCCTTAAAACACACACACTGGATTTCACTCAAGGTGAAGCATTGGATTGATTCTTTCCTACGCAATGAATTTACTAGGCAAAAAAGGCCCTGGCAGCTGGATGTACTAGTGTGCCGCCACAAAGCTCCAGCTTTTCTGAAAAAGCCAGACCTGCTTTTAAAATGCTCACCTGCCGCTACAGCTTCAGGTAGAAGTTAAACTTACGTGCACATAATTTTGAGCAATGAGGATCCTGAAGTGTCAGCGAGTTACAAGCTTCTCATCTCTAGAAAATGCGTGTATATCAGCACTTAAACTTTCAAGAAGAGTCTGTGTTCAGTTGGCCCAAGAGATACTTAAAACAGTGCTGGGACTGGTAGCAAAACATGGGCGACACCACAGACCCTCACCAGATTTTTAGCCTTTCTCAGTCCCATCCTGTGCCAGGCTCAGGATCACACTGATGAACCTGATCCCTAGATGTAAAGGTGATCACCTTCACGTCAAGATCAACCTAGGTGAAAGCTGTCCATCTGAAGTGGCAAACCAAGCTGCTAACTCAGAAACCCACACATGCCAAAGAAAGTTCAAGAATTCAATGCCAGATGGCACAGAGACAGTAACTTGAGCGGTCATTTGTGGGTAACACCCTACAAGGTTTAAGTTCCATTTTCACAAAGAGACCAAGAAAAATTCCGTTATTGTGTTACATTCCTACAAGTTTACCAGACAACAATATCCAAAAGTCATTACAAACAGATCTAACTCCATATGCTCTTCAATTCTCAGGGTCAAAAATAACAAGTGACCCCAATCTGTCAAGAAAATAAGAACTGTCAAGTTTTTTGATAGTTCAGCATAAATATTTATAGAACTTCATGCTTCATAACACTCCACGTCCTTATATTAGCTTTTTATTCCTTAAAAATACGGAAGCAGGAGGAAAGCTTTAAAAAGCCTCGGATGAAAACAGTCTAGTCAATCAAGACCAGACAAAGAACGCAGCGTGGCTTCCTGACATCTGGGGTGCTACAGTTTTGGCAGGAGAAGGGTGGCTACAAAGTAATGTCTCCATTTCCCCAGGACTACTTGGGGTGCATTTCATTTCGAATTAACTTTGATGTTTCTCCCATTTGAATTTGCGCTTACAAGGGAATCTGTGGCTGCACACGAACAAAAACAGTGATTACATTGTGCTGTTATGAAAGGAAATAAAGGCTCGTGTCACTCGGGCTGCGCTGTCAGATTGGCTCCACAGGGCACTTCTGGTACTAAAAAAGCCACGAGCTGCAACTGCCAACATCAGACTGAACAGTGACATTTTCACTGTGCACCTGAACTTACAACATATTACCTTATTTGTTCTTACATGTGTACCTTGCTATCAATAACAATCCAAGCAGTCTTTTGATGTCAGTCAAACACAGGTCTCTAAAGGGAAGTATGCAAGATTAAGTTCACACGTGTCTTATTAGCCCACAACGTTACAAAAAGCAACAACCTGGGATAGATTGGTGCAGAAAAATCTCAAATCTATTATGCTCAGATCTCAACCACTGCAGTGCCTTCCAGGTAACACTGCCAAAGTTAAAAGAACACAACACACATCTCCACCATTTGCTTTCCTAGCTAAATCTGTTCAAACAGCACCAGTATGACAATACTGCACCAAGAGAATTCACACTTAAATTTTCAGACATCTGAAACCTATAAGCAAATTTCACGAGCAAAGGTGAAAGATGTAATTGCGTGGCTGCTCTGCAGTAACTGTCCACACATATGCTTCTACCTGCATCGACTACTAAATAAATAGACATGGAAGACAGACAACAACGTGACCTCACATGGTGGGAGCCCATTCACCTCCCTAATCATCAGGATCCCAGGAAGAAATTGCTTTTTAATCTCTGGTCTGTTCACATAGATGTAGCCTGTTGCTTGCCACAGAAGAACACAATACAGCCTGCCAGACTTGGGCCATTCCCGGTGCATCCTACCAGTTTTGGAAATGACCCTGTGACAAAGTAGCTCTCTGTCAAACATCTGCATAGCCAGCCACGGAGAGGGCACAGCAGTGGGCCCTCAGCTTCCTCAGCCAACATCATCAGACAACAGCATCCTGTTGATAGGGGCCATGCTCATTTTTCCAAGCAAGCTCTGGAACCAGGAGTTATTCCCATGTATTGATGGGAGCAGAAAGACAGAATCAAGATCCTACAGATGAAGTTCAGGGGAAAAATGGGTGCAGCCCTATAAGTTTGCTCCTTATTTACCAGGTCAGGTAATACAACTCTCCAGTTTTCAGACTCCCTACCCCATGTCAATGCACATGTATACATACCATAAGGGCAGGAAGACCATAACACTGAAACGTAATGCTGAAGGATTTTTAGATTTAAGCTTTAACAAAACCCAATTTTATAGCTATAAGCAAAACTATTATTAGTTTACAGAGCAGGTACACAGAAATGACAATATTAGCACCTATTATCTTCCTAGCCTTTTAATACTATAACCACTTCTGAACAAAAGAGTACTGAGTTACAAAAACCTTGGTTTAAATCATTATCAAAGGGTGACTCCAGCATTTAGACGCAAACCTAAGCGCATTTTTAATTTACTGACTTGCATTAGCCAGTTAGGCACAAAAGCTAAAAATAAGACTATTTTGTTAACATTTATCTATGTATTGCTACGACAGTATATCTTCCAATTAAATGAAGGTAATTTTTTTCCCCCGTCACTTCAGGGAAAAGTGTTTTAACTTTTGGATACTCCTTGCGTGCATCAATGCTGCCATCTCCTGGTCGGATTCACGTTGGAACCAGACTTTCCAGGTTCTTCTGACTGATGCCTCGACTCATCATTAAAAATGACCAGTACAATTAGTCTCAAAAGTGTCTTAAAAGTCACCACAAAGCCTCTTTATATATACTGATTTAAACAGTTTGTTTCAGTATATCTGAAACCTGTTCCTACATGGCTGTAGCTAACAGAAAATAAGATCTGCTGCGAACAGCACCAGGAACCTGCACAAAGCCTTTTGCATGGGTTCACCTAAATTTATCAGAAACACCTTATCTTAAATCACTAACTTCTGCATAGAGGCCAATCTTACTTAAAGCTGGAGCAGCTGTTCAAAATTATGCAGTATTCACCTAATTGATCAGCACAAGGGTACGGAGCGTTTTTCTCTAGACAATAGCACAGGACACATAATAAAAAAGGACGAAGAGGGAATAGCCCTGCTTACAAGGGGGTTTGGTGCAAGTAGGTCATCCAGGCCTTGATCATTCAATAGCCAGGGAACTGTAAAAGCTGGAAGATATACACAGTTCACTGCTCATCCAGGGAAACCAACAGCAAACACAGCCTACTGTCAAAATGGCTGAAGAAAACTTCCAAACAAAAGGAGATATTTTTTTTTAAAAATGATTTTGTGGTTAACATGACAAAGAATCTCAAGTAGCTGGTCGGACCAGAAAGAACCCATTGCATTGCCACTGCAGATTCTGGAGTAAGCACTTATCTGCAAGCCACCATGACACCACTTCCAATTCACCAGCAGGCCCTCGCTCCTCTATCCAGTATGTTCTGGCCTTTAGGCAAAACCAAAGATAAGATAATGACAACATCTGTAGAAAAGCGCACAACTCCTCCTGGTCTTCAGGGCTACGTTATTAACCAAATATTAACATATCCCATTTAGATTAACATCCTTCTGCTTCCGTCCTTCGTGCTCCAGGGTGACCACTTTCTGCATGACCGGCTTTGTAGGATTTAGTAGCAAATCTAAGATAACACATGCTTTTTCTTTTAGGCACCTATACTACAGTTTGACCACTAACCTTGCAGGCATGATCTGGGCAGGAGATGCATCCAAAAACATTTGAAAAAGGACAGAATAGGTGTTACAATTGCTATTAAGGGCTTATGCTGGGTATTTAAATTGGGTTGACGCACAGCAGGTTTTCCTCAGAACTGGGGACGCAGCTGGTACAACACTATTCACAGCTTTGTACCTCTAAAGAGAGAAGCTCGAGAAAGCTTTACCTTACATAGCCTGGCATGCACCTTGCACCGCTGACGATCTGACTCACACTCTTAAAAGCTCCCACAACCATACGGTCTGAGCATTTCTTATTCTTTAATAAGAGACAGATATTATCCATGCAGGCTACTGAAGGGCAAAGACTAAGAGCCAATTCTGTTAAGATGCTGGCACCTGATGTGCTCCTGGTAACAATCTGATCTACCCTCTGCACTAACATGGGATTAGATGAAGATCAAGACCAAATTTTTCCACTTAGTAATTACCCAGCCATTCTGCTCTAAGGCAGGAGAAGAGTAGTGTGACAGAGAACTGTTCTGCAATACGTTAGTGGATGGCAATTTAGGAACCTGTGCTCAGAGACTCCGAGCAAGTCTCTGGCTTGCACATCTAAGCTTGCTTTGAAAACTGGGTACAGAAACACGTGGTGAACTCCAGAAAAACTTTTCTGTGTTACAGCTTTAAACACTGTTTTTCTAAAGGATTTTAAATTTCCTGA